TAATCTGAAAGTTCTTCAAATATAAATAGTTGAAAGGTTGTTTCAAAATTAAGTGTTTTGCACAGCAATAATTATAGACATTTGGAAAAGAGCATTTCTAATTATAAACAAGTCCTACAATACTTTGAACTTCTAAATTCAATTCCTCCTAGATTCAAATATGACAGTAACTAGGATTCAACGGGATTGATTCAGTTAGTCACCATGAAAATGCAAGAAAGATTGTTGTAATAATAATTTTTAAAATCCTTGCATTTGATGTATATCTAATCACATCATCAAAATGTCTCAAAGCCCCTCACAGGATTTACTGTAAAGCGTAGTAATTGTGTATTTATAGGTGAATACGGCAGCACATACAGTCATCTAGTGAATGCCCAATGTTATCTGGAGCATTGTTGGCCAGGAGAAACTCTCTTCACTTTACATCCAGAGCCACAGGATCTTTAGGGTCCACCTGAGCGAGCAGACACACCTTTAATGCCTCATTGCAAAGAACCACACTTCAGACAATGCAGAGTGGCCCCAGCACTGCACTGGAATGGCAGTGAGATTATGAGCTCAAAGTCATGACATACGGCTTGAATCCACAAACTTCGAAGCCAGGCTGACACCGTCTTTGTTGTGGAAGGGTGATGAGACTGCTATTACCTCACCCTAATATATAGTGTTGATTGTTTTCCGTTAAGAATCATCCCTTATGTATGCTCAGGAGTACTAGCAAACACAATTTATCGATCCCATAGCATATGCAATTTCACTGAAAATTATCAAGTTATCAAATAAAGACTCTCACCTGAAACATTAACCAATCTTTCTCATTCAGATGCTGATCCACCTGTTTCACATTTCAATAGTTTTGTTAATATTCATGTAATTAAAAGTTGTCTTTTGTTGAACAAGAATAATTAGTCTTATTGGATCATATAAAAATAACATTAATATAATGCAGTTTTTTTAATATACTTGTCAGTAGGCAGAAGTAATGCTGTGGCACACAAAAAATGTCTTGCGCATGTTTCAGAGCCTTGGGTCATCCTCCCGATGTGACAGGTGCTACACAAATGTAATTTGTTGTTGTTGGTTTTGTTGTATTATCCATTTGATAGAACCAGATGCCCATTTAAATAGTGGGAATATGCCATTGAAAAAGAGGTTTGTATACTGGGTTAACAAGTCACAAAGGAATAAGACAGGTCTAACGCTTATAATTGAATCTGTCTGGAAAAAAACATAAAAGCAAAATATGTGCATGGACTTAGGTGCATAATGATGTACCGTATAAACAATGTATTGGCCACTTTAATCCTATAAAGTTACTTAAAACCCACTGGCAGCATTTTTATTGTGGAAGGGTGGTTATTGCTATTGCCTCACCCTAAAATAGAGTTTGGCGGTTTTTGCTTCATGTGCAGTCCACTGGCAGTTAACAGTGATGTGGAAAATGATTAGCACCAATCTGGAGAAAAAATTCAGAGCAATCTGAACAATGAACATGTACATTTCCTCAATTTGTAGTACTCCGCCTCTGTACATTTCAGCATTCCAAGCAACAAAAACACCCCCAGCCAAAAATGCTTCAATTCAATCTGACAACCCACTTATATGCGAAGAATAGATGTTTTATTCGAATGAGTTTACTCTTTTGTTTATTGTTTTCAGCCAAATTGACACGAAAATGGGATTTCATTTCAATATCGAAAAAGTTTATACATATTTCCCAGTCGACTAATAACTGAAAAATGAAATGCAAAGCATAACATGGAATTGCAGAATTGTTTCTGGTATTAAAGTGCATAGTGAAGAATGTCTTACTTCACAATTCAGATCAATTCAGACGATGCAACGTACCCACTTAACAGAGCATTTGCGTAACCAGAATAATGTCTTGTTTCTTGTTTGTTAGTTCACTGCATTGACCAAAGCAAACCTTGCCAAAGTTTAGCTTTAGCAGCTGAACTTTTATAATTGTGTCTTGGTTCATGCATCCAAATTGTTTTATTTACTGAAAAACAATATTTACTCAAACAATATTTTATTTATATCTCACTCCCCAAATTGACGAAATATAGTTACTACACTTTACATTAAATTGTTTGAAACCCATTTTTTTGGTCAGCTAGGTGTCTGACACATGCGGAAACTCACGGGTATGCTTAAGAGCATCAAAACCAAACTGAGAATTCTATGCATCCCACCTACATAGTTGTTAGGATGGAATCTGCACTCTCCCTGGAGGGCCACATCCTGCTTACCTAATTCCAGTGGTTTGTGTCCTAATGATTCAGTTCCATAATAATCCTTACATTTGATATAACACCTTTTACGCTGGGAGGGTGTCTCAAAGCTCAATTCTGACGTTCCATTGCAACGCAGTGTCAAAATCGAGCCAGCCCTCTGTGGTGGTCTCGGAAGTCCGGTTACTGAGCCAGGCGGGTCCGCAGTTTTCTGGGTTATTACAGGTGACAGCACAGCCAGCCTGGCTCATCTTCCGGTCTTGGAATGGCAGGCCAGTCATTGGGAGCAGGGACTCTTCCCACTCAGTTCCTGTTAACCCTGCAACTCCAAGCCTAACGGGTAGAGTGGTCCTAACTGGACAAGCAGCCAACGTTGCTGGAGAAAGTTACAGCACTATTATAGATCATTTGGGGTCATGAATAGCGTTCTTAGTCATATCTACCGCTGGGAATGAAATGTCTATCTTCATTTTAGTTTGATTAGTCCATTTTGACAAGTTAATTAGGCACCCAGTAAAAAAAAGTCACATTTGGTAAAAATATTGAACCTGACACTGGAGGTTTTACACATATATATATATATATAAGCAGAGAGAAAGAGATTTGGTGAGTTAAAGATCATCGGGCGGTTATGGAATACTAATCAATACATAAAAGCATTTACAGGAGAGTCCATTCGATGTGTCCTGGACAGTCAGTCCCCACCCAGATAACTTGGTCCTCATTTCTATGGTACGGTAAAGAGGTATTTTTTTCTCATGAATTGATAAAACGTAGACGCGAGGGCACCTGAACGACTTTAGCCTATTGCTAAATAATTAGGCAACAATTCCAACGCTCAGGAAAGCAAATGTGCCCAACTTTCATCTCAGCAGGTTGCAATTTATCACTCAAATGGATACTGCACGCAGAGCGTCTGTAGTGCTTGGGACGTCCTCCCGACGTGAAAGGCGCTGTACAGATGTGATCCTGTTGTTGTCGTCGTCGTCGTCGCGGTCAAAAAGGCAAAGGGCAAGTGTTGGGAGTTACACAAACACACACACCCGTCTGTGGTCACAACTTCACGGGAATTTCATCTCAACCTTAAAATGGGGAGGGAGGGAGGGAGGGGTGAGACGTTTCAATCCATTCAAAAATCGTCAACCGGCTGTAGTTCTTTCCTGTCCCGCGGTGATGATTTCAATCGCATCGAATAACTAATAGTTACGAAAAAATGCAACGAAGCAGCGGGTGGGGCCGGGCGCGCCATTCCACGCTCCTTAAAAATATCAAGACGCTGCTCCAGGACTGAAACACAAGGAAACACCTCGAAGGGAGGTGAGGTTATACACGAAACATGTTTTTATTTGCGGGAACGTGACCAGGTTTGTACAACAGGAAAACAAATGATACTTTTTCACGTGAAACGACATGCGAGAAAGAGCGTGGCTTGGAAAGCCCGATGCTCGCTCGCTGCCCGGGAGGCTAATAAGGTGTCAAAACAGTTGTTTATATCGTGGGTTACATTTTAAATGTAATTTTAAAATGCAAGTTACATTTTACGTGAGATCGACAATTTAATTTAATCCATTGCAAACGGCTTTTTTTCTCCCTCCCTCCCTCCCACCCCACCCCAAAAAAAACACGACCCCCCCCACACCACCCACCTCCCTCCCCACCCCCAATATTTCTTCCCGTGTTTGCTTGTCCATCCGCACGGTTTAAGACGTGAGCCAACGAGGCTGAGGCGTGTGGTTTCTTCAGCTTCTCCCTGGTCTCCCCCGTGTTGGTGCGCGGCCATCGCAGCTCTCAACAACTCAATCCCTGTCAGACCCGGACAGAGCCTCCGCGCCGCCCCACTCCCCCACAGCAGCAGCACCGACAGCCCGGCGTGTGCAATGCACATCAATGGGGCGATTGTGAGAGACACAAAAGGGGAGAAACCCCCTCTCTCCTCCCCCCCCCACCGCATCTCCAGAGGGTGATCCGTCTCACACTTGTCAAAGATCCCCCGGCGGGAGCGAGCGAGCGAGAGAGAGAGAGAGAGAGAGCGAGAGAGAGAACGCGCGCGCGCGTCGGTTTTTTTTCAAAAAAAAAGGGGGCCTCGCGCTTCTGACCTTCCGTTCGCGAGAGCGGTACTCGAGCGCGCAGGCGCACGCGGGGGTGGGGGGGGGGGGGGGGAGGTGAGGTGAGGCGGTCTCCTGCCACAGCTCCCACCCCCAGCTCGCTCGCTCCATGCGCGGCCGGGATTTACTTACTTACGTACGCACGTACGCACGTACGTCCGATCCCTCCCTCCGCTTCACAGAGAGAGAGAGAGAGAGAGAGGAGGAGCGCGAGCCGTGTGTGTATAGGGGGCGGGGCAGGGGAGAGAGAGAGAGAGCGGAGGGGGGGAGGGATTTCGTGCAAGCGCGTCACGTGATGAGTTAAATGGTTTTTTTCCCCCTCTGTCTCCCTCCCGTGGAGCTGCTGACGGCGTCTGAAGGAGGAGAGCTCGAGCAGTAGCCGTTAGTGCTGGAGCTCGTGCAGTGCGGAGAGAGCGGCGCTCAGCAACGGCAGCAGCAGCAGCAGCGACAGCGAGACAGCCACAGCCACAGCCCCCGGGGCTGCGAGACTCACTCACTCACTCACTCACACACTCACTCACTCACACACTCACTCACTCACACGAGTAGATAATTCAACAACAACAACAAAATAAACAGGAGACCCGCACTGGGATAAAGAGGAACAGAAGAAGAAGAAGAAGAAGAAGAAAAAAAAAGAGCCACAACGAGAGAGAAAAAAAAAGGGAGAGAGAAAGAGAGAGAGAGAGAGAGAGAGACAGAGACTCTTCTTCCCGAGAAGTTTGTTCTTCTGGACTCTGTGGTTTTTTTTTACAGGCTGTGTGTGTGTGTATATAGATATCTATATATATATATATCTATATACACCTATACATTTGGGGCGTTTGTGCGTGTGCGCGGGGTTTTTTGGGGGGAGCAAGTTTGTTTGGAATATGGTCGGGGAAATGGAGAATAAGGAGCGACCCAAACCGACCCCAGACTATCTCATGCAACTGATGAACGACAAGAAGCTGATGAGCAGTCTGCCCAACTTCTGCGGCATTTTCAACCATTTGGAGAGGTTACTGGACGAAGGTATGGCGATGCGATGCGAGGGGAGGGGAGGGGAGGGAGCATTCCTTTACACATGTGTAAACACACCAAACACTTTAAACAGTCAATGGTCATATCAGGTGGTGGTGGGGGGGGTCTTCCCTGTCCCCCTCTCACTCACACACAACAGTTGGAAGAATGTTTCTTTGGATTGCATTAGTCTCAGGCGGGAGGGGGGGAGGGAGGGAAAGGGGGGGCTTACATTTCCTCTCCTGCACCAACCCAGGGAACTAGTGAAAACTCGGAGCAAATCCGTTGCGAAGATGGCAGTTTTTTATTTTATTTTGCACCACCCGCTTCTGGGCGGCTTTTCGGGACAGTCCCGGGCGGTTGATCAGTTTCTGCGACTTGACATTCGTGGGTACGGCGTGCAATGCCACGCCAAGTGAGGCGCGTTAAAGCCAAGGCTCCTGGCACTTGGCTTGACTTCATCGGGTTGGTGGGTTGGGGGTGGGGGGTGGGGGGGGGAATAGAAATGCCTTTCCTGTGGCACAAAAGGTCGCTGGACAGTGAAAAGCTGCGCGACAAATGCACCGAGAACTGGCCCCCACGTATCCTGCAGAGGGAAATCAGTGTTGCTCAGTGCAAATCAGTGTCCGCCCTGTTCTGTACTGTTAGACATGTAGGTGTTAAACGCACTGTTTGATCTAAGGGGGTCGGTTAGGGTTTCCTAGGATTGAATGGAAATCTTCCACTCACGATCGGATCCACGCGTGGCCGAACTGTTTTGCTCAGCTCGAGGGTGTTATTGGGAATTTGCCTCTCCCCCCCCCCCCCATCCCCCTCCCTCTCTCCCTCTCTCCCTCTCTCTCTCTCTCGCACGAGAATATGATTTGCAGATGTTTCCGCGGTCTGAAGTGTCCGTGAGGCGCAGTGATTTAGCCCCCAAAACCCTGGCTTAGAGAAGCCGAGAGGCGTCCCGTGGAGGCGGAGAAAATTGAAAGGGGGAGATCGAGCTGAGGCGGAGAGGGCAGAGACGTTCAGAGATGGCACGAAACCGGGGAGCGAGCGAGAGGGGGCAGAGGGAGAGAGAGGGAGAGGGAGAGGGAGAGAGGGTGAAAAGGGCACGTATTTGGGGAGAAACCAGGCAGCCGATTGGAGAACAGAGAGAGTGCAAATGAACGCGTGAACATTGGGGGACATGAACAGGGCAGAGGAATGGGCACATAAAACGGAAACGATATGAGGAGTTGGCAAACGTCAGCTCGTCTTGCACCTGTATTGAATAACAGTTCAGGACGTGTTGCCCGTGAGGTATCGGGGCAGCTCTCACTGTGTTACATACTCAGTGATTTGTGTAGCTGACACCTCAAATTCTGTGCTCTCACAAATTGCGTCCACTATACAGTCTTATCTCCTAAGGTCCGAACTCGTTAAAATACATTTTATTCCATCTGTTCGGCACCGCTGTGAGATACTTTTGGAAACTGTGTTCTCCTTCCCACATCCTGGCGACCCTTAGCACTGTCAGCAGTAATGCGTTTTGATCTGTTGCAAGACCTTAACATAAACATAATTCGGGAATGCAGAGATATCTTACAGGAAACAACAAATACAAGGGAAAAGGAAATGGGTGGGGGGACACGACACGGAACACAATCGCCAATGCCCATTGGTAACTACATAAGAGATACATAGAAACAAAATAAAACAAAAGAAAGTTGTTTCCATTCGAAAAAAAATCACCGTTATCACAAATCTTTAGTGTGCATATTGCGACTGAGAATGTTTTAAGGGAAGTTACAGTTGAAGGAGTTAATCCGAACTTTTAATGAAGTTTGAGAGGAACAATTCAGATCATTCTGGTAAAACCAGAAGAAACGGGAGAAAAAAAAGAGTCCAAGAATCCAAGGGGGTCGGCATGACCCCAGTAAACTAACCATTGATCTGTAGACAGGGAGTAAGTTGTTTTGCATTTCACTCTAATTGCAGTGTTTATGTGGGGCATTGGGGAGAATTTGGTTTCAGCAATAATAAATACAAGAGTTGTAAATAACGGTATGGGAAAATCCGATCCTCTACCAGGAGGAAGTACTGTACTGTACTGTTCACCGCAATGATCCTACCCTTGTGACTGGTGGGTTTTTTTTGTATGTGGAGTGAACTATGAAACAAACGCAGGCACTAAATCAGCTGAAATAATGATACTACACCCAACCAAATACATTGTACCGTCCTCTGCAGTGGGAAATTCTGCGGAAATTCGTGTTAACCTTTTGCCATCTTTTTCAATGTCGCCGAATCAACTGGTGACCTTTCCAGACGGCTGCGGTGATCTTTAACGTCAGTAAATTCGGTGCGATAACTCACGCAACTTGTTGAGAAACTAACTGTTGGTTGTCCGACGGACAACTTTCCATTCAAAATCCTGTAGCCCTTTTTGGCAGTGAGTTACTGACATGCTCCGAATCCAGTAAATCAACTAAGCAACGTCGGGGTTTGAGACTGCAGCATTTCCCCTTTTCAGTAAGAGAAATGTGTATTAATGGGAGAGGAACTGAACTCCTCTGCTTTTGGTTTGCTCGCCTTTTTAAGCGCAGATAAGTTTCTGGAACATTGACATCTCCGATATTGGGTAAATCTGTCAGGTTTAGCCCTAAGTTCCAGGTTTGGACGGCAGGGCGTGCTAGATCTTTCTTTGGGAAATTGAAAACAATTTTGAAAAAAAGAACTAATCGCTCATAAACCCTTTTCGTTTTTCTCTCATAGCGTTTTCAGTTCTTCATTTGCTGTATTGAGGTGCGTTGACCGAACGAACATAATCCACAGCGAAAATAGCTTTGATAACTTTACGAGTTTGATCCGTTTTGTATCAAAGCGGCTTCACACGCACAGCAACAAGGCTGGTGGTTTTAGTTGCGATTAATGTACTGTTTTGCTTCACATATCAAAATATTTTGAATCCCCTCAAATAACACAAAACAGTAGTTTCCTACATAACTTGAATGAAAGTATTACAATGCATTGTTGTTTGGATAACCAAGCGTACTATATACCTGTATATACATATATATATACCAGTATGTATCCATTCAACTATATGAATGGATTGCTGGGTTACTCTTGTAACTGTATTGGACTTGTCTGGTAGATTTCTTTCTGGACTGGAAACCTTGCTGGTAATCCCCTCGACAGTGAATTTAACAGGGGAGGTAGAATCAAATTAAATTGGGTATTTTTTTTACTATTCTTACGTTTCTCTCTGGTGAGTTGATGGCTATCACGGATGGGGTTGTGGTGTCTGCGATGATATCTTCAAGTGCTTCATGGTTGAATGGACAGAGAATGAAGAAATATAAAAAATCTGTTCCTTATTGTCTGTTGATTTGTTAGGAAAATATATGATTATGATCTTTGTTTCACTAAGCTTCTGTGCTCAAAATTACACATTTAAGTTGCATTTTTGTTTTGTAAAAATATAAGGATGCCTTGCAGACAGGATAACGAGTAGGAAGTGTTTTAATCACATCACAGCATATAGGAAGATGATCTTTCCCGTGTGTGGGATTTACAGTGTTTCCTGGAATTGTTAGATCTAAAGAATGATTTATTTTAATGCTGTACAAGAAGGCTAATTTGCAGCCCTGACAATAATTAGTGAGCAATTCAACATTAAGTCATCAGATTGCGTGCTTTCACAGGAATTTTATATCCATTTACATTTTGGAAGAAAGGAATTTCATTTTTCAGACCATAGTGACAGATTATTGCTAAAACAGATTGCTAGTTCTGTTTGTTCTGGTCATGGGATCTAAGGATATGACAGTATGAAATCTTAGTGGTGTCATCATTTTAGAGCAAGTCATTTAACACACCAGAACTCTACAGCGCAATGAATCAATTCTGCGTGTGCTTTTACAAAGTTATTTTTGTTAAAGTAAAATGGCTCAACTTGGGCTTCATAAGCTATCTTCTGTCTATTATTGTTTGGTAGTGGATAGGGAAAAGAACACTTAAGACTGTTTTTTCTATACACGCATTAGCAGCATAGGATAGTATTGATTGCTACACGATGGTGACTTTCAAAATGTGCAGTACTAAAATTGTTTAAAACATGAAGGATTTGTGGTAAAACATCAATTGTTATGTGACCTGTATATAGTCGCTCTGAATTGGTTGGAGGTACAGTAAAACTCGCATAAGTCTTATCTTAATGAAAGTTTTAATCGTTTAAGTCATACTTCCACCCAAGTGCTATTCAGTTTCCTATCAAAACCATTTAGATTTCTCTGCACTAATTGTATTAATCAGTTTCTAACTTGTAACAAATATCAGTAAATATTTCTGACGTGTGAGGTGCAATTTAAATGTAATTTGTTCTTACTCCGCTCCCCCATTCTCCATTACTTCTGCTCTTACCAGCTGCACTGAATCGTGGAAAATAACGCGTTGACCAGTCGACGCATGCGCACGCACTTATCAGCCGGCTGCATTGAATCGTAGGAAACGTAGTCTTGATCCATTGACGCATGTGCAGAAGAACTTCATTTTCCGAGACTCAATATGATTCCAATGCTTGCCATTAAGTGTACAAGCGACAACAGGTCAAGACGCATTGAATCGCGAGAAACGTAGTCTTGACCCATCACTCCATGAACACTTAGTGGCTGCGGTGATGAACTACCTCATGAGCACTTTCCGTCTGCATTGAATTATGCACTCACAGTGTAGATTTTTTATTAAACAGATTTTATACGACATACAGTTTAACTGCAACTCAAAATTCACTTGAGTCATAATAAATGTTATGGTCTCAACTGATACGATTTGTGTGTGTGTTTTACTGTATATGTAATTCTAGGTTTGGCACGGTGTTTGCACTGATCTGTTCACCTCGTGAGTTTGATTTATTGGGAGAGGAATAAAATGTAGTAACTACACAAGAAAAAGAGGGAATTTGCATTCCAAAGTGATGGTGTCCATCATTTACTGTTGGGTATTAGCCTTTGATTTCTTACTGCACTGCTAACCGAGTGGTCCGG